ATGTCGTTGACGGTTGGGGAATGGGGTATGAAGCTACCACGCACGGATGGGCCACCCACGCATCCTTGTGGGTCCGTGTCCACCGTGCGGCTTCAGATATCGGGTATCACCTAATTAAGGTCACCAAGGTTCGTGGCCACTCTACCTCTGCGGGTAATAAGCAAGCCGACAGACTTGCTAACCTAGGTGCAGACCTACACACTCTGGACACGGTCCTGCACGACCGTATCAAGCGCTCTGGTGTGCTGGTGCGCAATCTTGGTGTGTATATCGGTCATTGTATAGCATGGATGTTTTAAGAATGTGCCCAAAAAGGTCTGGGCGGCGGATTCTGACGAGCCCCCTGCCCCCACGGCCCCATCCCTAGTCCTCTCTGGTGCCTCCTCTGGGGCCTTGCATGAGCATTTCTGGGACCCCTCAGCGGGTCGTTTTCGATGCGTGAATTGTTGGGCTAGTTCAGTCTCCAAGAGCTACTTATTGCGTTCGCAGTGCTCTTCTCCCACTGGCGGTGGGAACGTGCTCAGGCGGCTAAATAATATCATATTTTGTCGACGATGTGGCCGCTACTCGTGTAAGAAGGCAGTTGATTTAACTAAATCATGCACTGGGCCTCCTCGGGCCTCTGGCACCATCTCACGGCTTCGACGCATGTGTGATGGTCGTGACCCCCGCACTGATCAACCAGTCGGTGAGGTCACTGCGGTTGACAATGTCAACGTTATATATGCTTTTCCTGCCCCTCACGATGTCTTTAATTTTCAGGCACTGTTTGATCATGCATGGCTTGTAGAGGCTCCGTAGATTTCTCGGGGTATACTTCGGAGGTGGGGTGGATGTATCCTGGGATGTCTGGTCTGTCTCGTCTGTCTGATGCTGGCAAGACTACTCGGATCCCCGACACCAGCCGCCAGAAGTGTTGTTCTGCAGTACTCCCTTTCCTGGCCGCTACAGAGGACAGCTTCCAGGAAGTAGGGTAGGCTTGGGATAAGTGGGTACAGAGGCGCCGAGAAGCAGGCACCCGTTCCGCCTGCGCCCACTTATCCCGCCTGTGCTTTTGTCATTCCTCCCCTGGCCAGGCTCGCAAAGAGAGAAGACTCTTGCCCGCCCGCCGCGCGGGGATTTCTGTGCATGCCTCTCTGTCTGTGCTTTCTCTCTGACAGTCGGACAGTCGGACAGTCGAAATGTCTTATGGCTACACGCCAGGGGCTAGTAGGCTGAGGACGGGTGGGTACAGAGGCGCTGAGAAGCAGGCACCCGTTCCGCTTGCGCCCACTCATCCTCCTTGTGTGCTGCCTTTTGTCTTTTCCCCCGCCCAGGCTCGCAAAGAGAAGCAAAGACAATTCTCTTCGCTGCCTGCTGCGGGGGGCGGCATGCTTTCACGCCTCTCTAGCTTTGCTCTCTGAAGTGTCTGTGCCGATTCGTCAGGGTTCGTAGGCTAGGCTGAGGATGAGTGGGTGCAGAGGCGCTGAGAAGCAGGCACCCGCACCGCCTGCGCCCACTCATCCTTTACGTGCTCATTTCCCCCCCCCCCCCCAGCCCGGGCTCGCGAAGAGAGGAAGGGCTCTCCGCCGCCGTGCTGCGTCTGTCTCGTTGTATAATGCTGCTGCCTGGCCAGAGGTTGAGGCTGGAAGCCCAGGGGCCAGGGCGCGGGCTTCAAATTGTCCGCCAGTCTTGCCAGCATCGCGTGTTTCGGGCCTTCGATTTTTCGCTGTCCCTGTGTGCTCGGGTCGGTCCCTCGCTCGGCTCTGTTCGGGTCCTGGTCCGTCCCTCGCTTCTTTCGGCCCTCCTTCGGGCCCCTCGCTCGTCGTTTCGGCGCCACGGGCAGGAGTGTTCGGCAGGCGATCACCCGCGCGCAAATCAAAAAAAGAGCGATGCCCCAAGCCAGGTGGTTGTCCTCCTCCAGCTCCCCCTCCTCCCCCTCCTCCAGCCCCTCCCCCCCCTCCTCCAGCTCCTCCTCTTCCTCCTCCTCCTCCTCCCCCTCCTCCTCCTCCTTCCCCTCCTCCTCCGCCTCCTCCTCCTCCTCCTCCTGCTCTCCCTTCTCTTCCTCCTCCTCCTCCTCCTCCTCCTTCCCCCGCCTCCCTTCCTCCTCCGCCTCCTCCTCCTCCTCCCCTCCTCCTCCTCCTCATACCCCTCCTCCCCCACCTCCAGCGCTCCGCCGCCATCTCCTCCTCCTCTCCCCTCCCCTGCCCTCCGCCTCCCCTCCGCCTCCCCAACACAAAACCGCCCACCTCCGCCCTCCGCCGCCCCCTCCTCCTCCCCTCCCTCTCCCCATCCCCTCCTCCTCTCCTCCGCCTCCTACCTCCCCCTCCTCCGCTCTCCCTCCTCCTCCTCCGCCTACTCCTCTCCGCCTACTCCTCTCCTCCTGCTCTCCCGCCGACCCCTCCTCTCCCTCCTTCCCCTCCTCAAATCCTCCTCCCACCTCCTCCTCCTCCTCCTCCGGCACCCAACTCCCTCCTCCACTCCCCCTCCCTCCTCCTCCGCGCCCCCCCTCCCCCCTCCT